CTTGGGTCAGTTTACATTTGTTTATCATCATTGTATCTAATTCAATAACCACTAAAAACTCAATGTTTTGACAAATTGACCATTATTGGAAAATTGCATTTTATATACATTTTTGAGTGTCACATTAAAATCTCCATATCATAATTTTGTTAACGAATTTTATCTTTCATATAATATCCCGTGTGGAACCCCTTTGTTTTTAGATATGTTTTCACTGTATATTCGAGGGGTGATCAAAAAGTTCGCATCTATCTCTATATCTACAAAACCACAATTCAGATTGGAATGAAATTCGGTACACACATAGCCATACACAAGTTCTATAAAAATGTAAACATGACGTCACTATTTAGGTCACTTGTGACGAAAAATGGTTGTCTCAGTCGAACTCGTTCAACAAACGACTGTACAATTTATTGTATATCTTAGAAATCCCTTTACAGTATCATATAATAATTATAATTTGTACACAGTTTATTGAGATAAATGAGTTCCTATAAATTCAATTAATGATTGGATTAATCGTTTTAGTGAAGGAAGGCTGATGGTTTAAAGTGATACTTGTCATTTTGCCCAGTGAAAGCAAGAATGAAAAGATATGTATTTTAATTAAGCAATTTGCTATCAAAGACCTCCAATTAGCACTTTAAAAAATAGTTGAATATTTGAACAATGATATAAGTATTTAATACCTAAGATATCGTTTACCTCAGATTTTAAATATATTAGATATGACAAAAAGGATGCACCCATTCTCTATCCACCTTGAATAAAGGTCTCTCCTGAGACAGAAGATTTGTGTTTTATGCCTAGGTCACATTTCCCGGCCGGTAGCCGTAGACAGGTGGTAATCGGTAGTAATCCTTGGTGTTAACGATGCCCCAACATCAGTCCACATCAGCCTATTGGTCCTATAAGTATCAGTCACATTATCCAGCGATGTGCATACGATGGGCAACCAATGCGTTTTCTGAGAAAAATCTCGTGGTTGCCAGCCGGACTTACAAAGGTTCAGCGATGCATTGCTAATCATAAAACGATGTTCCAGGATAATCGGCCGATGTATATTACATCGCTCATACATTGTTAAAAATCGTTCGAACATCGGTCGACTACGGGCCTATGTTTGGTCGAACATCGACCGATGATCGGTCGTTATCTGTTGAACACCACTAAACTCCCCGATGACCTCAGATTTAACGGATATTGGATGATGCTCGGCCATACATCGGCCGATCCTGAAAAGATGTGTTAATGACGGGTTGCCGATGAGGAGCGATGTGAGCCATCGTTGGAGACATCGCTGAATTTTAACTACGAATTATTTCCTACCGATGACCCCACCGATTCGCAAAAAAGACTCAGTCACCGTCCGATAACTAGTGGTGCCCGGCCAGCAACCACGCCATTTTCATCAAAAACGCATCGGTTTCTCATCGTATACCCCATCGTTGGATAATGTGACTTATTCTTAAATGGTCGCCATGCTTATTTTTGGAAAAGATATTATTATCCACCCATTCTGTTGTCGAGATATGACCATTTCTGACAAATGAACTGTTCTTGTCATAAAAATTAACTCACATGGAAAGAAATATTAAACTCGGAAAAAGATTGCTACGGAGGGGTTCACGTGACCGCCAATATCACGTGATTCGCGCATGCGCAGAACGATGGTTGATGTGCATTAAAATTGCGGAGGATTGATTTAAAATATAATCAACATTAAAATCAAATATTGTTTCTTCTATGGAAGTTATTCAATTAGTTTGCGAACTTTTTGATCACCCCTCATACCTTTACTGAACCTCAATTCACTGGACCTTAAATCCCGCCTGGCCGTGCAAGTTAGTTTGGACACGGTAGTCCAGAGAGGAAGACGTTTCTCACCCCCTCTCACCTATAATTTTGTTTTGGTATCCAGCATTTATATTTTGCATGTACCGAGTGCAGGGCTTACTTTTGTTTTTAAAAATAGCGTAATGGTCCAGCTTTTCTGAGGTAAGGTCGTTTATAATGTCATTTTAGTTATTTACAGTGTAAAGTATTAATAATTTGTCCTAAAACATCCAGTATTCGTATTTCTCATCAATTTTAGCATGTATATTTCGTTTAAGACATGTTCATTATGATCAAATAATGAGTGTAAAGTATATTTGTGTAAAGCCACTAGAGCTCGTAAGTAAAACTTGTGTGTATATGTTGGAGCAGGTTCCAGCCATATGTCAAAGTTGGGGTACGACAGTGAGGTCGCCGAGTATATATCGCCCTTAGAGTGTAGTATATAGGCCGCCACACTTGGAACCTATAGTCGATCCTCTACCCTGTGAGATGGAAAGCAAGAGGCGCAACTGGTCACTAGGACAACAGCAGCAATCACAATAATTTTGTACATTTTTATCAAGAACCATAAAATATGTAAATTGTAATAAAGAAACAATAGTTTGAGTAATTTTTATAATTTTTAAAAAGGTAAATCCGCTAGACCATCTGTGACATTGAGCATAAATTAAACAAAAATGCAGAGACAAATTTTCATCTCAATCAAGTATAATGTAAATATGAACTTAAAGAAAAAAATTCTACAAAAAAAAAATAAAAGTTGTGTTTTTTTCTTAAATCCAAAATAACTGACTTTCAAAATCGTTGTGCTACGGAAGCAACTAGTACACTAAATGACTACCTAAGGATGTTTTCACATCGGTTTCATCTTTCCTGGCCCAAAGGTTCTCGAGAAAAAGATTCTCAAAGATTTTTCCTATACATGTATATTCCTATGTAAATCTTTGATCTTCAGTTGTAGCCAAACCCTTCCCCCTGGGGGTCATGACATGAAGATGCTTACATATAAGTTTAGATTTTTCTGGCCCAGTGCACTTGGTTCTGGAGAAGATTTTTTTACATAAATATCCCATATATTCCTATGTTAAACTTTGATCACCCATTGTTCCCCCGCCTACCCCCTGGGGTGATGCTTTGAACAAAATTCAATCTACACTATCCAAGGATGCTTCCACATGAGTTTCATCTTTCCTTGCCTAGTAGTTCTGAAAAAGATTTTTAAAAAAATTCCTATATATTCCTATGTAAATCTGTGAACGGCCATTATGGCCCCGCCCCACTCCAGCTGGTGATCTTTGAATAAACTTAATTCTACACTACCTGAGAATGCTTCCATATGAGTTTCATCTTTCCTGGCCCAATGGTTATTAAGATTGGTTAAGAAGATTTTTAAAAGATGCCATTAATTTTTCATTTATTCATAATTATCTCCCCTTTGAAGAGGGCTTGTTCCTTTATTTGAACAAACTTGAATTATCTTTACACAAGGATATTTTGTGGCAAGTTTGGTTGAAATTGGACCAGTGGTTCTTGAGAAGAAGATGAAAATGTGAAAAGTTTACGATGTCGACAACGACATCGACACACAACGGACAAATTTTGATCAGAAAAGCTCACTTGAGCTTTTGGCTCAGGTGAGCTAAAAAGAGTTTGTTTTGAAAAAAAAAAGAAACAAAACTGGTTTTGGAATTATGATACATATATGACTGCCGTCACGAGAAAAGGGTACTTAAGGACAGATGATACAAACAAACGTTTGTCAAAGAATTTGGAAATAACAACTTGGGTCATGTTTAAATGATTAAAAGGAATAAGTTTCACTCCGTAGGTTTTAATTTTTTATTAAATTTTGCTTAAAATTGGAATTTTAAGTGAAAAATATTTGTATAGATTAATAAGGATGGTTTCAGAATGGCAGACTTTTGAACATCACTGAAGGTTTACAACTTCTTTATGTTCTAGAATTTTATTATATGCATCAATTGCGATAAAATTAGGCCAAAAATATATACCAATCCAGGCATCAATTTTTTGTTTGTATCATCTGTCCTTAAGGTCAAATTTTCACAAATTGACTTTTTGGCAAATTTTGATAGCCGGACTCTTTCTGAATGCAAATATACATAAATTTTGAAAATATCTCACTTTTTCGGTATTTTATAAGCATTTTAGTGAGGCTCTCCAAGAATAACTTTGACGTTACTCACTGAAAACGTAATGACGTCGCCTGCGTCTTATTCAATTCTCAAAAAAGTTTAAATTTACATTTTTAAATACCTAAATCGTTTTGAGAATAAAAAAACATGAGATAGTATTTAATTTTTTCTTCCAAGCGACTAGTATGTAACTATTCCTAAGGGATTTTGTATGTTATTAATATTTTCATGCTAATTTTAGAGCAGATCTAGTAATTCGTAAAAAAAAGAGGGGGGGGGGGGTGTAGACAGAATCTAGGAACGGTTTATAACATACTCAGTAGGGAAATAATATTTTATTATATCCATAAAAATCATTCTTTTATATAAAATAATCTAATTCAATTTTTAAAGTTATATAAAGCACTTGTAACACTTAAAGATTAAAAGAAATATATAGATAGATAGAGAATCCCATGCAGAAAGACACCAAGCGCAAATAGGGGCACCCCTCGCGAAAAGCACATCGATCCCGATATTTAAAAAAAATCTTATGAGACAACATTCACTCACCAACACACACGCACGTAACATTTTTCTGTTACGATAAAAACAAACACCATGTATTTTCTAAATCACCGAAAAATTTGATTGAGAACTAAATTCAGATAAGCTAAGATATGTAAACTTGTTTTTAAACACGTTTATTGCTTTATAAACATTCATAAAAAAAATACGCTCCCTTCTTCCATTGCCAGCGGATTTTAAAATTTTTACGCTTTTAAAAATTTTAATAAAAATGTTTAAAGCTCTACGTTTCCATTGTTTATGCAATTCATTTTTTTTTGTTTGGAAAGTAGTGGAATTCTTTGGAAAAAATGATAAAATGAAAAACTTAGCCATTTTCTGTGCTGGAAAACTGGAAAATTACTTAGAATTTTTTAACTTTCGAATAATAGTACAATAACATCCGGATCGAAGTCGGGCTCGTTGAATAAATAATTGAAACAACACGCCGAAATTCAAAAATATCGAATGCCATGTTGATGTTGCACAGAAGGAAAGTTGGAGAGAGGATGTATAGAACAGGGGAATCATGATTAGCTTTGGATAGAAGAAGATGAAGACATTTTAAGTCCCGGTAGGTACAATATTATACAGTATTTTATGTGTCTTTCAATGAAGAACGCTTCTACTACTGTTCATTAGTCCGGACACCACACATAAACTGCCCGACGATGAAATCGTTAGTGCACTATTTCAATTTTGTAATAATTTAAGATCATAAATTTTAACCCGAATTTCCTGTTTTGGAAGCGAACTGATTTAAAAATTTTTACCTAGATACGTTCATTTGTTCAAGATAACATTTACAGAGTATGATGTACAATGTAATTAATTATATATGTATTTTAATGCATGTTCATGATAATTTATAGCTCTTATTTTGATTATTTTATAGTTGCTGCATTGTGCCTGAGATGATTTTCACAGCGATGGCGTTTGATAACTTGGACAAGTTTGTGGATGTAGATGCTTAGCCAATCAGTCACTAGGCTTGTGAATATGGTGAAAACTAGCTCAATTTATCATTCAAACCAGGTAAACTAACTTTGATTTTATTAATCGTAAGATTTAAAAAAAAATTATTGCAAGTTTGCCATGTAAACAAAATGTAAAGGTTTATATTCTTAACACGCTTAAATTCCGTGTTCTAAGAATTTAAAACAATGAATTCTGACAGGTAATCTGAACATGCTAACTGCACAGGCATGCATAATTATTTTAGATCAAACAGCAATCATCTACTACATGTATGAAGTATACATGCATTTTACAGGAATCCGGATGCTCACAAGGACAAGAGCTGTATGAAAAAAACCCCAAAAAGGTCAGATTTCTTTTTATTTTCTAAATCAATGAAATCACATTTATTGAAATTATCTTTTTCAGTATCAGCTCACCTGAACCATTTCAAGGTCTAAGTGAGTTTTTTGATCAGTGGCTGATGTTGTCTGCATGTCGATTGTGAACTTTTCACATTTATCATACAGAATTAATCGTAAATTGAACAAAAAATTGCAAGATAGTGAATTCATTTTCTACAGTAGACTGATTTGCCAGGTAGAAAGAACCAATTGTTTTGTATAGCTTTAGTTTATTATTTGTCATATATTTATATGATATCAATAATGATGCATCTTAATGGTTATCTTTTCTTTCAGAAATTGTGCAAGGAAAGTTTGAAGTGTCTGTGGGACTGGGAATGATCATCATCCAACTTCCTGAGCCCTCGTACTGAAAGTGAATGCATTCGTGACACCAATTATCTGTCAACCCTATAACATAACCATTTACTAATTTCATGGGATATATCAGTGAGGAAGTGATTCTCTGGCAAAGACGTCAGAAGTGTTGGATCTTCATTAATTGGGATATTTGGCACGTACGTTGGAGGAAAATACTTTAGCATCTGTTGATTTTATGGGATCTTTCTATCAATATAGTTTTGTAGTACATATTTTTTTGCATTTAATACATGTGTTTGTCACTCTAGTCATTAACTTTGTACCAGTACATAAGCCACTGGCAGTTCATTGCAAATGTATACTCTGTTGAGGTTTCAATGACCTCTCCAATTCCTTGTCCAATGTCATTTAATAAAACTAACTTCTTAGAAAATGTAGACCGGAGTTTACTAGATACATGTATATCTTAACATGATTATTGTGAATTTAACTAAGGTGATTCTCCAGTAATAATATTCTTCTCTGGATATTTTTGTAAATAACCTTTGCTGTAAAATACTTTCAGTGAGAATACATTTAAAAAGTGAGCTTATATTGTAAATCTGAGAGTATATATGCAATATTTGTCTCAAAAAACATTGTAAAAGAAACAACAAATTTTTTATTTTGAAAATATAGATTTGATCTATGAAAAATTGCTATGTTATCAATTTTTTTTGTAAGTATTTCGCACTAATTATTTCAGTTTTCATTGTACATGTATTTGGAATTTGGAATCCTGGATGTCAATGGATTCCCATGGAATTCCTTAGATTTACAAATATCCTGGAATTCCATGGATTTCCTCCGCAAATTTCCATTCTGGCATTGTTCCGCACTTTTCCAGGCTAGATTGAAAATTATATATTCCGAAAAAAGTTCCATAAAAAGCTCCGGACAACTTTTATTTTGCCAAATCAAAATTTAACGGAATTCCATGGAATATGCTTTGGAATTCCATGGAAGTTGCGGAAAATCTACATTAGGGACCTGTACCCTGTTTACTTGAACACAACATTTGTATATTTCTTACAAGGACCACTACTATGATCTCAAAAAATATTATTTATGTATAATATTGTATAATTTAATCAAAGATAAGGGAATTGTGCTGTTCTTGTCTCCTTTTATTATAATTATGTACACTAAACGGTGCTTGATTTTTCTGTGCGAAATTACAGTTTTATTTAAATTCGAAACTGAAACTAAATGAATACTGGTAGTGGAGCCTCATTTATCCAGAAGCTTTGGTTCAGCATGTTCAGTGACACAATTTTGTCATAATGATAAAATCAGTGATTTCTTACTTTGTTGGGTACAAAAAAGAGCTGATTTTTGCTATTCTCTTGATCACATTAATTTAATTATCTGTAGATCAAGTCTAAGTGTTAATGTGAATGATTTAATTGCCCTTAAACTTCATTTTTTTTACTTTTTTCCAAATGAAATAATTTTTTTTATGTTTTTGTAGATCAAAAATTTACAATTCATTAATGAGATATAAAACAAAATGCTTTCAATCAATCAAAAGTTGACAACTGCTCTAAGAAAAAAAATATTTTATAGGATATGAAATTTCGTTAATATTTTATTTTGACATGTCGAAACTTTTAATGAAATATAAGAAGATATTAACAAAAAGTATATTCCAGCTCAAAAGTCCAACAATACAAAATTTGTGTAGAGAAAACATGGACTTCAAAAAATGATTGATGGTATCATTTAATTTTTTGTTCTTTTTTCTTCCTGGGGAGTCCCGTGGGGATCCGGGTTGACATCATTTAGGCCTATATCTACCCCCTTGCTTGTCGTAAAAGGCGACTAAATGGGGCGGTATATTAATGAGACCGTATAAACCGAAAATGTCACAGCAGGTGTGGCACGATAAAGACCCCTCCCTGCTCAATGGCCCTGAGTGCCGAGCATAGGCCCAAATTTGCAGCCCTTCACCGGCAATGGTGACGTCCCCATATCAGTGAAATATTCTGTAGAGGGACGTTAAACACTATACAATCAATCAATCAATCTTCCTGGGGAATTTATGCCGCAATGTCACATCCAGCTTTGGTCAGTTTTTTGTCATGATTCTTCTTCAATTTTTAGACAGATACCAGGTACTTTCACTTTTTTGTCAGAAAATATGAAGTAGAAAGTGATGCACATGAATACACTTGCACCAGTTTTACCTGCCGGCTTATATTATATTTTTAATAAAATATGTATTTTTTACATACAAGGTATCACCATTTTTTTCAACCTTGATCTCTCCAATGACATTATTTCATTTTTCAAGATAAATCTTTATAATAAAATTAAAATTAATATTAATTATAATGGTAAAAGCAATATGACTATGTCCTTTTATATTACCTGTTCTAATGAAAGTTTAACCTTTGACCTTCAATTATGATTTTTGTAATAATAAACTTAATATTATTAAAATCAGTATTGGTGCCAGCAATCATTTTGCCATTATTTTCTTACTTAGACCATTCCAATGACCTAACTTCATTTTTCCTCCATTTAGCAGTCACTTATGCATGTACAAAAAATTATTCATTCTGTCTTCATATTTTACTGATATATACTCAAAGAAGGAGGACACATTTCTTTTCATGTCATGGTGCATTTTGTTTTATAGGTTTTAAATGCAGTTTTTCCAAGAATGCAGGAACAATGGAGCAGTAATGAGATGTTATTTCAATAAAAACCATGATCTGATTGATAAAGTGAAAGATGATACCAGTTGTGAAAGTTGTCGAAACACTACAAAAATCTTCTAATCATCAATACATGTATAACTCCTGTTAATATTCATCAGACCATAAAGAATTCTCAATATTGAAATTTGAAAAATATTTAAACTGGCAGTTGAAAATCTCACCTTTTTTTTTTACACATTCAATATCAAATAAGAGCATCACGGCAAATTTGTATGCTAATAAAATGTTCAAAGCATTAGAGAGTTTCAAAGTTTTCTGATACAAACTGCAAAGTTTCCTATAAGGAACAGGCATTGGTGACGTTCAGTAAGAGCCAACAGGAAAATGTATTGGTTGGGCTTTAAAATCCAGAAAATGATTCTCACAGAAAGTGAACAATTACTTGTCTATGATACGTTAAGAATGTTAGAGAGCAGTTAATTATCCAGATTGTGTTAAGCCACTGTTTTATGGCAGAAGAAGAAAGTAATGAATGAAAATGATGAAATTTTATAAATAAAATAAATGGCTAAAAAGCCCCCAAAAAAGGAGGATATATTGTGTCACATTCATCCAAAAAATTTTTTAAGTCATTTCACCTTCCCCTGTAAAAAAACTTATCTGAAATATCTCAATGTTTGTATCAATGATGTTGAAATTTTGCAGACATTGTTTCTACTTACACTGTACATGGAATATGTTGATCAAATGACTAGTATGATAAATAATGTGTTCACTCGTGTAAATATTGAGCAAGTATGTATACATGCATTAAATGTAAATAAAGGTTTATACTTAAGTTTATCCATTAAAAATTTATTTAAGGATCAGAGATTAGATTTTCAAAGAAATAATGCACTAGCCCCGCCCTAGCACTAAAACCCCTGACCCTGGGGCCATGAATTTCACAATTTTGGTAGAGGAGTCAATGTTCATTACATTCGTGCCAATAGTTTGATGTCCAGGAGTAAAGAACAGTGATCCCTAATATTTCATTGATTTTGAAATGAAATTTTGTTTAGACTTTAAAAACAACGTAGACATAGATTTAAATTATACGAGGACTCCCATGCCAATTTAAACAGTCCTCACCCACTGATGTATCATACACAAGGCATCCATACCATTGTTGAGATTTCAGAGATGATTTGAAAATGTTCAATGTTAACGCAGAGATAGATGACGGACAAGAACATGCATATTTGGTCACCTTAGCTCCTGACATATTGACCTGCCTTATTTACATTCTGGTTGTAATGTCAACACTTTGCAAATGATTAGATTCAAAGAGTTATCACAGATAACAAAATTAAATATGGAAGTATAAAGAAATTGCTACATGATCTCTTCTTTATTTGGAATGTAAAAGAAATATATTTTTTATTGAGAGTCATTAAGTATTAGATTGAGAGCTATATTTGTTTAAATTTTGTAAAACAGATAGGAAGAACTATTGAAATTAATCATTGTTTTAGTTTTGGACATGTTTTGAGCTATTTTTTGAGTAGCTTTAACTGTATCCATGACATTTTTTATGTGAAAATTTCACAAACTTTGACTTTTGATATATTCTAAAGAGTACATTGGCCAAGGGCAATTTTTATACATTTTGTTCACATAGGCATTCTTAACAATAAGCAATAAAATTTACTGGATTAAAACATCCCCCCTTTTTACAATCATAGTTATCAATTCCACTAAAAATTGTCACTTTTTGGTAATTTTGAACAACCAAATTCATGACCTATTTTGCACTAAAAAATCAAAATGAATGTCAATTTCTGACTATGCATTTTTTCGGAAGACGAATATATTTCATTCTTTTACAACAAAACAGAATATTTGAATAATTTTTAAAGTTGCAACTTTTTTTCTCCTCAAAATATGTCTAAAATGTTAAAAATTACCTAAATTTTGCCGTGATGCTCTTATTTTTAGTAACAGACCATACAACGTATGTGGGTTGGATTAGCTCAATAAAAAATTGTCTGATTTCATTTTATGCAGTAGTAAATTTGGCTCATAAAATTTTTTGAAAATTATTCCACCTGCTTTGTGTCAAATTTGCAAAATGCTTTTCTATATTCTGTTAAGGATTTTAAAGATTTTAAAATGAATTCCATGAATTTAAAAATGCTTGACTAGTTTTTACTACAATTTCTATTGAAGCTGTAAAGTACGGGAAAAAGTATCATTTAATTGATTATGACGTCATAATGGTTCTAGCACAGGCTAAACACATGATGTCATACGACGTAGTTTCTACGTTAAAAACTTTCAATGGCAAAAAAAACATAAAGACTCTATAGATGACGTCACAATATTTAACCTTTGACCTCTTGATATGACCTTGACCTTTATAGCATATAACGAATGGATACTTTTTATATATGTTTCCAAATAT